CAGGTTGTGGAGATGAGGAAGAGAACAGAGACAGGAGGAAAGGCTTCCATTCTAGGGTGACATGTTAATTTTGAGCTGTTACTGAGGTGGCCAAAAGGAGATGGTGGGCTTAGGGGCACACACTTGACCCGCCCTAGGCTGGCCACTCCCTAGGCTGTTTGGGATCTGTAATGTGGCTTAGTATGAAGGCGTGAGGCATGGTAGTAAGATTATCTACCTTCTGGATCTGAACTGGAAACACTAAGACAAGCCAGCAGTTAGCATCAGAAGAGGAGCTGACGAGTTTTGTGCTGGAGAAAGAACCATTCAGGATCAAGGTCAATGAATGGCATGAATAAGCAGAAGCTATGAAACAGTTGACAGGGAGGAAACTGCTTGTTAGAGGAAAGAAGAGGTGACAGAGAGAAACAAGTTCACGTAAAGAAACTGCCACATGACCAGAGTGCCATCAGAGTGAAGACATTAAAGCTGCGCAGTTGAAGTCTTTGCAGCTGCTTTTGGCCCAGGCCGACTCTCTTATTTTTGACTGTGAAACAACAAGAAGAGAATTGCCGGAATGTCAGTTTGAAGAAGATAAACCACAAATGCATAACATTGAGGATGAGAAGAGATCTCTAATAAGTTAAGAGCTTGTGTTCGGGAAGTGACTGATTCCTCCTTCCCCTTCAGAGTCCTGCTTCATAGAGACCTGTTTTGTATCAGCTTCTCAGCTGTACTGATTTGGCCAAATGCCTCAACAAGGCAAGGGCTCCCTGGGAATGTGAATTGGGATTGAGGCTGGACCTTTAAGCCAGAGTGAGTTTCCCAGTCTCTCCGGTGTGAACTGACCGAAGATAACTCACAAGTCACAGTGGAGAAGCTGAGCTGATGGACACTGACGAGCCTACCTGCCAAGGTCTGTGAGGTCCACCTCCCAAATAGAAACCAGGAGCTTTTCATGTAGAAACCAGGCCTGCTGCGTCTGGGCACAAGAAGGCAGAGGAGAAAGCAGGATGAAAACACAGAGAGATACACCCTCATTACTTTTTTAATAGCAGAACTCCTGGTAAATTGGGCTCAATCAACATAAGCCTTTCTCCAATCTCACCAATTATCTCTTTAGGGGAGGGGTGTTGGCTTCTATATTTTCTCTTAAGGAGTAGAACAGAAGCAACTATGCCAACAATTCCAAGGAAATGGAGCGAATGAATCAGTGTCCTCTTCCATAGCACATATAGAGACTTAAAGTATAAGAAATCACCATGTAGAATTTTGTGGTGATACATTTTAAAACCTTAACAAAATTATCATGTTAATGGGCAAACACAATTAAAATGAACTCAAAGACAGGTGGAAGGCCTAATTAGAATAGTAGTCAACGCTTTCGAATCAACCCCGAACAAGGCTCTGAGCTGCAGTGTTTTTACAAGTGAAATTTTTGTGTGTTTTAATGAAACACAGTTCCACGTTATAAAAATTATTATAGGACATAAAAACTGGTGAAATTTTTCTAACATATTTGATAGCTAAACTGGACAAAGATAATATAATTTAAAAGTCAACAAACTACTTTACTCAGAAATATAAATGCAAATGTATTAAAAATCTCATGAACACATTGAAGTCTTTAGTGTACATGAAATATATATCTTTTATAAACATGCAAATAATGTAAATATGTTATATTTTATGTCCCCGGTAAATGTTATTTCAGTATAGTTTAAACTTAGGAATTATAAAAAATAAATATTTCACAATAGTTGGATGAACAGAATAATATGAGAATGCAATTAAGTGGAACATTTTGATAATGTACAACTATTTCTTATAAAATTTTTTATAAACTAGAAACAGATAGATACTTATTTCATATGATAAAGAATCTATCTTAATGTAAGAGCCATTATTATATTAATGAAAGGCACTGAATGACTTTCAAATTACAAATTAGACAAGTATAAATACAGTGTCATCTTTATTTTGAAAATTTCAGGAAATTAAATAAGATGATGCAGAGATAAATAGTATAGCCAGGTGAAAAGGAAAGAAGAAAAAGATCACTAATTCCTAATTATATATTGCTCCCTAATGAAGTCTGAGAAAATCAATAGAAAAATGATCATGTCGATTAAGCTAACTGGATGCCCAATAAAAGAGCATAATTTAATAATTTAAAAATATTAGTCTATTTCTAAGGGAATTGCAGACTAATTATCCCACATGACTCCCTAAATTGGCAAAATAAATGCTGGATAAAAATTTAAATAATGGAGTATCAATGGAGTATCAATTGGGAGCAGAATAAACTCCCAAATTATACAAGAAAATCAATATTTAAAAAACATAATAAAACTAATAAATAATAAAATAAGCATATAAAGTGATCAACAAAATTTAAAGTTTGTTCTTTGAAAAGACTAATAAAATTGATAAGACCCTGGCAAAATTTATCAAAAAGAGAGAAATGCAATAATATAAATAATATTAACAATTAGAACAGGAATGTATACTCATACTGAATAGATTAAAAACATAAGTGGATACTATATATGCTCTAAGTCAAACTTGTAAACCAGGAAAATAGAATAATAATTCTCTAGAAAAACACAATTTACCAAAAGTGACTCAAAAGAAACAGAAAGTATAAATAGTCCTATACCTATTAAATAAATTGAATGAGTAGTTTAAAATTTTCCTGTTAAGAAAACTTCAGAATAAGAAGTTTTTACCAACTAGTCATTCAGATATGTAAGGGATAGGCAATTTCAATCTTATTCAAAACTCTGGAGAAAAAGAGAATATTCTCCAAGTTATTTTATGAGGCTTCAAACTTGGTACCAAACCAAGCCAAAGACATTATGGGGGGAAAAGTCATTTTCACCCATGGTCATTGAAAAAAATAAAACTAAACATAATATTAAAAAACAAAACTGAGCAATATACTAAAAAGAGACTGCAAGTTGTTCTACTGCCATGAATGCCCAGTTAGTTTAGTACTGGAAATTTGATTAATGTAACATCATTTTAATGGAATAAAGGAAAAAATATGATCATCTCAATGGATGCAGAGAAGACATTCAATAGAATTCACCATCTCTTCATAATTAAAACAAACAAAAACATTTGCAAACTGGCAATAGAAGGGAACTTGTTTAACTGGACAAAGCAGTCTACAAAGAATAAATAAATGAATAAATAAACAATAAATAGAAGAATAAATAAGTAAACAATAAATAAAAATTCAGCAAACATTATACTTGATGAGAGAAATGTTATATAAATTCCTGTTAGCATCAGAAACAACAAACATAAACAATTTCTGTTAAGGATGAAAACTTAGACTATTTGGGGTGCTTCACTACGTGAGTATTAGCATCTTGTGATTTGTTATCACCTCTTATTTCATTGAACTCTATGCCTCCTCTTTTTCTTTCCAACACCTTTGTAAGCAACTTTCTGTGTTAACTTCCCTTTGACTTGAAATATATTGTATCTCGAGCCTCAATTTTATAATTAAAATTTATCTACTAAAATGAGTGCAAAAAGAAAACACAAAAAACAGAGACTTAGAGATTTAGGTCATTTTAGTCTGAAACTTTTCTTTAAACACAGTTGTTTAGAATGAATTTAGATCTATACTAAAACTGAGAGTAGGTACAGAGATATCCCATATACCCCAACCCCCACACGTGTGTAGCCTTCCACATTGTCAGTATCTCCCACCAGAGTGGTACCTTGGTTTGAACTGATGACCCTACAGTGTCATATCAATATCACACAAAGTTCATAGTTCACATTAGAGCTTACTGTAGTGTTGTACATTCTATGGCTTTGGACAAATATATAGTCATGTGTTCATTATTATATATCGTATAGAGTATTTTCACTGTCCCCCAAATTCTCTGTGCTCTGCCTATTCACCCCTTCTTCCTTGCCCCCACCAACCCCTGGGAATCACTAATCTTTTTACTGTCTTCAGAGTTGTTATTTTTTCAGAATGTACATATGTAGTACATATAGTTGGAATCATACAGTATGTAGCTTTTTCTTTAACTCAGTAATATGTGTTTAAGGTTCTTTCATGTCTTTTCATGGCTTGGTACTTTATTGCTGAATAACATTTTATAGTCTGGATATACCATAGACTGTCCATTCTCCTAAAAAAGGACATCTTGGTAGCTTCTAGGTTTTGGAAATTATGAATAAAATTGCTGCAAACATCCTTCCATGTGCAGGTTTTTGTATGGTTGTGAGTTTTCAACTTCTTTAGGTAAATACCAAGGACAGCAATTTCTGGATCACATAATAAGGCTATGCTAGTTTTGTCATTCTGAGACTTTTAAAAACAATTTATTGTTAAGTGCTTCTCAATTTCACTAGGCTCCCCCTTTCCACCTAGAATACTCTGAAAATCTTAATAATCTCCAGAACTCACAGAGGCTTATGCAAATTAGCTTTATTTGCTTCAACAAATAAGCAGTAAATCTGTTTTGGGGGAAAAAAAAACCCAAAACAGATGCCTGTCACCACCACAACACTTTTAGAGATGTAAGCTAGTGCAATAAGACAAGAAACTTAAAGCATAAAAGGTGGAAAGAAACAAAACTGCCACTATTAGCAGGTGATACAATTGTTCATATCAAAACCCAAAATGATCTACAGAAATATAGTTCAGAATTAATATTAGAGTTAAGCTAGCTCACTGTTTTAAGACAATGCATAAAACTGAATGATTTCTATATCCTAAAATGATTAGAAAAATGTTATTTAAAAGATACCATTAATTTTTACTGTAAATGAAAACTGAGGAACCAACCGACAACCAACCAAACAAACACAATGGTACCTCGGATTACATTTTTTAAAAAGATGGTCAAGCATTTTATGTAGAAAAGTATAAAATTTTATTGACAGTCCTGGAGAAGAAATATGGTAGCTAGGATGATTCAGTATCTTAAAAATGTCAATCATTCCTATTGTTGCATTATTGTAAAACTTCTCTCTCCATCCATTGTTTATAGGGAGTTGAACTCACCAAATATATGTCTAAAGTTGCATAGTATGGAGCAATGGATGAGAAGCATTCTCACCGACTGCAAACCAGACCCTTTGCAATCAACATACAGGTAGTATAGGAAATATTATATCTTCTCACATTTTTTTAGGCCAGTAGGTTTGCTCCATTTCAGGTAATAATCTTGATTGTTGTTTCAGTGGCTAGTGGTCTTTTAGTTTGGAATATCCTCTTAGTTTCTATATTTATCCACTTAATTGTAAATTGTAGAATAATTGTGTATAGCTTCATAAAATACTTTTTTTTTTTACCACCCCAGGGACACGTTACATCTCCAGTAGAAAAATCTGGAGACACAGCCATGTTTCCTTTGCTTTCTTTCGTATATTTATAAGGTGACTCAGGACCATTAGGGTGGGGCATGTGTACTCACTTGAAAGCAATTAGTGCTGTTCCTCAGATGGTACATCAGTCAAAGCTTTCAACAAAAGACAGAAAGAAACTTTTCACTGACATGTAAGGCCAGTAAGAATCATCTGGTGATGTTAACAATGATACTGTGTTAGTTTTCTGTGGCTGCTGTAACAACTGACCACAAACTTAGTGGCTTAAAACAACACCAAGTTGTTATCTTACAGTTCCGCAGGTCATCAGCCTGACATGGATCTCAGCGGGTTAAAATCAAGCTGTTGGCTGGGTTGCATTCTTTTCTGGAGACTTTAGGGAGATTCTATTTCCTTGCCTTTTCCAGCTACTGGAGGCTGTCGGCGTTCCGTGGCTCAGGTTACCTTTACTCCACCTTCAAAGCCTGAAACAGCAGGTTGAGTCTTTCTTATACTGCCCCCCTGTGCCTCCCTCTTCAACCTTTAAGGATCTGTGTGATTACAATGGCCCCACTTGGATAATGTAGGATAACGCCCCCATCTCCAAGTCCTTCACTTAATCATATCCACAAAGCCCCTTTTGCCAGGTCAGGTAATGTATCCACGGGTTCCAGGCAGGAGGACCTGAGCCTCTTGGTGTGGGGGTGGGCAGGCTAGCATCACTTTCATCTCCGCCTGCACTGCACTCTGCCCACTGCACTCTGTGTCATATTGCCACACTCCACACTCAGCACCCACCATTCCCCTGTGTGGAATGCTGTCCCCCACGGATTGTCATCGCCGTCTCCCTAACTTTGTTCTTATCTCTGCCATGTGTCCCTTCTTAGAGAGCCTGCCTGTATCTAAAATCCATTCTGTACTTTTAACCTCTTTTTGTGCAGCTTTTTTTCTCCGTAGCTCTTCTGACTAGTCTCTAGCTCCCCTTCTGGAAACTAAGTCCTTGAGGGCTGAGACTCAGTCACTTTTGTTCCCCCATGTCACCAGCATCTAGCTCAGTGCCTGGCACATAGGAACTCAAGTAAATGTGTAAGTCAACCTTAATTTCATTCTTTAGCAAAATATTTTCTTCAGGGAGCTGCAGCTAACTAAAATCGCTATAATTTGAATTGCAAGCTGAATTCAACTTAAAGTACAGAAAGTACGATTGCTGTACTGAGTCATTTCACTAAGAATGCTAATTGAGTGTATAATCTTAGCAGCCAGAGATAAAACTCACATCAGTAGTGATGAACTCAATGTGAAACATGAAGTATCTTTCTGTAAATACCCCTGCTATTGGTTGTAACTTTGGAGACTAGAGACTGATGATGATAATAATAAATACTAGTAGCAGTTATCATTAGCTTTGCTACCATCTGTGAAATACTTCTTATCTGCCAGTTACTTCGTTTTTGACATTATTTGATGTAATTTCTCACTCCATGTAGTCATAGAGAGTGCCTTTACTGTTTTGCCCACCCCAGAAAAGTATTCCTCCCACTCAACACTTCCTTTGGGAAGCTGCTCCTCACCCCTTGCACTAAATTGGTTCTGGAAATAGCCCAGCCACAGCACCTCACCTATGGATAGGCATGTGGTACAGTCCGGACCAATCACAGTCCCCATAGCAGGAGTCTAGGGGTTGACACATACCTCAATTAAGCCAATCAGAATTGTTTCTCTCAATTTCTGAATCCAAGCTGGGAAGAGAGGGTTCCTTTCTTTCTTGGGTAAAAGAAAATGCAAGGAGTTGGCCTAAAGCTGCCTGTGGTCTGTGGAGAAGCCGGGGAAAATGGAGCAGGGTGATACGTTGAAAAGTGCCGACATGCATTATACAGTCCCACTTTCTCCGATTTACAGATGAAATAGCATCTGTAAAACACTTGCCAGAGGTCATGTACCTAGTAAATAGCTTGTAAATGGGAGTGGGCATTTGACCCTAAGTCAGGCTGACTTTAATATCCATGCTTTCTTTCACATTGTTGTACTCCTGGCCTCCAGGAGTACAACAATGTACTCCCTGCTAGAAATGCATGCTCTGTATTAATTGCAGGGACCGTTCTGAGCAGTTGTTGATCATCTATGTATCTTATATTCTGATGAGTTTGTTCACTTGACCAGGGCTCAAGGACTGGAATGACAAATAAGCTCCACCTTTTGTGCCAATTGCAGGGGATTGGAAATGCCTACCTAGAGCTTTGTGTTGAGAAGGATTCTGAGGCTTCATCTGCACGAGCAGAAAAGGAGAAACTGGAGTGAGCAAACAGGCGACTACATTTGCTCAGAATGTTTGTTAATTCAGATCACATTTTGGCGCTAGGGACCTTTACGTTTTAGCATTCAGGGAGCATGAATCTCTGATTTTTGAGCTCAGAGAATGTTTTAGTTTAACAACTAAATAGCCTCACCTATGTGCCCAGCCAAATCCAATAGTCCCTTCTTTAACCTGATGATGGCATCTTATACCAAACACCTTCCTCTACAAAATGTCCAGACTGTCTTACTTACCCCACAGTGGTGGAAACAGCCACGTGACCTGACTTTAGATTCTAGACCTGAATGTCATTTATTGGGACCACTCTTTTCTGGTGAGAGAGATGCTAAATCACAGCCACCCTGAAATGCACCGGTATTGTTGAACATTCTCTAACAATCAAATTGGGCCTCCCATTTTGTTGGTTGGACGTTCCATTTCTTCATCTTCGGCCCAAGTTACTTAGCAATGGCCAATCAAACTATGCACCCGCCATATTGTTTTGCATGTTTGACTAGAACATTGACAGATTAATAGGAAGGGTAAATAGCAGCACACAACTGCAGGGGCCCAGTGTGGGGCGGCAGGATTGACTGCTCCGGACTTCGTTGTGTTTGCTCAGAGGAAGCCGCAGCCAAAGCCTGCTGGGACGGGGTGACCCGGGTCATGGGCATTTGTTTCTTGCCTCTATAGAAAACAATTGTCTTCTCAAAGGAAGATGGCTTTTTCTGAATCTACATGGTTCCACCAACAAAAAAGCATTTGCCATTCCAGGATGCTTGCTAAAACACACACATGCCAATAAAAGGGCCACACAAAAGTTCACACTTACTGTATTGCCCAGAGAATCTTTTGACTGAGGTTAACGAGGAAAGAAGCCTAACTTTGGAAAGTTTATCTTGAGGGTCGCTGAACCTTCACCTATGCATGGCTAACTCCCAACATTTGATGTATATAAAGTTTTCATGAGGTTTCAAAATGATCCAGCCACATCCCCCTACCCGCAAGATTCATGAGGGTAAAATCCATTAACATTTAGCACTACTGACTTTGCAAACTCTGGCTTTGGTGGAAAGCTGTTTTGGTCTTAGACTTGCTCTACTCTGAATTTATATAAATGATATATATTAATAATGAAGAAAAGTCCACTCTGGGCAAGGTTAAGTAAGCAAAAGTGGTGGTTTTATTTAAAAGCAAGAACTGTGTTTCTGATTGATAGATTTCTTTGAGCATGGTCAATTTTACATTTGCAAAGTTATTGGAGTTCTTGAGAATTCTTTATTTCTAATACAAGACTCCAAAGTGTTCACCTTTGTGTTCTTAACATAAGTGAGCCACAGATGATTCAAATGTAACTGCAGGGAGGAGTCATTTACCTGTGATTTTAGATTGTCATTTGAGATGTCATTAGAGTGGAATAACTTCCTCATGACACTTTGCTCTGGTTAGTTCTGAAACAAGTTCACATGTTGTGACTCCTGTCCTCCAAAAGGACCCTTTCCAGAGGCAGAGGTGGTGATGGAGGAACCGCTGGGGGGCAGAACACCAGCCTGGCACCACCGTGCTGTAAAGGCATGAAAACTAGCAGAGAAAACATTTCTTTATCAAAGGAGTTAAAAGTCTCCTCCATTTTTTTTGTTCTTTCCAGATTTTAAAGTAGGATTTATGTTACTATAAATCTCTACTTAGCACTGAGATGGGAATTAGAAAAATTTTCAGGTTTTAGTCCTTAATTCATCCATAAAATGTCACACAATACTGGGCAAATCACTGCACCTTGGGTGTATTGTATGCTTTCTGAGGTCACTTTCAGTTTCCAATGACTGATTTTATGGATTTCCAAATGGACCAAATTTGCTATCTTAGGAACAAACCCAACTATAATGCATTTTGCCTCTATAAACAAAAAAAAGTGACTTTCAGTCTGTAGTTTTTCCTGTCAAATTAGCACAGATTAAAGACATAGTGTTGGTGAAAGTGCATTGATATGAAACTGTCCTATTCTGCTGGTGAACATACTGTCTAATTGCTGGTGCTCCTGTGGAAAGCAAGTTTATTTGATTTTATGTATCAAGTTATGTTGAAACATCCATAGCTGTTGATACTATTATCCCTGTTGGGAATCTATCTTAAAAAATAATTAAAAAAATAAAATAGCCCTGGCTGGTATAGCTCAGTGGAATGAGCTCGGGCCTGAGAACCAAAGGATCGTGGTTCAATTTCCAGTCAGGGCACATGCCTGGGTTGCAGGCCAGTTCCCAGTACGTGACGCATGAGAGGCAACCATACATTGATATTTCTCTCCCTCTCTCCTTCCCTTACCCTCTAGAGATAAATAAATACAATCTTTAAAAAGAAGAAAATAAAGTGTGAGGCCAAGTTTCTACACAAGGATGGTCACCACAGTGTGATTTAATATTATGCAGTAATGGAAGCCACCTAGGTTGTCCAATAACAGGAACATTCTAGAACTTACAGTGCAAACAGGCATTATAT